TGAATAATAGTTGTCTTAGGCTGGGTTCTCTAGAGAAGCAGAACTAGTACAGCATATAAATATATATAGAGAGATTTATATCAAGGAAACAGCTCACACGGTTATAGAGGCTGGAACATCCCAAGTCCGTGGGTGAGGATAGAGGCTTCTCCTGATTCATGTAGCTGAAGGGGCTGGTGAACCCAAGATCGGTAAGTCAGACAGCAGGGCTCTTGTTCGCCCGCTGCAAAGCCTGATGAATCCTAAGATCAGCAGGCAAGACGGCAGGTAAGCTGCTAGCTCAAGTCCCAAGAACCAGAGGTCAGACAAACCGGAGCCAGCTGCAGGATCCAGAGTGAGCAGAAGTCCATGAGCCTTGCCAGAATGTCCGCTTACATATTCGGTGCAGCCCGCACCCCCAAGGAAACTCCCTTTCAACTGATTGGCTGTTCACAGCAGATCTCATCATGAAGGTGATCATACTATATCAGGTCTCATCATGGAAGTGATCACATCATCATATGGCTGCCAAACTGCATCATAACTGCTGAACCACTGAGAATCATGGCCCAACCAAGGTGACATACAACCTTAACGATCACAATAATTCAGTTCTTTTCCTTCAACACTTCAAAGATTTTTAGCATCTATTATTCTGATGAGAAGTCTTGTGTATGTTCAGTTTTTATTCTTTTGTAATTAGTTTATTTTTCTGTCTGCTTTTGAGATTTTCTGTTGGTCTTTGGTGTCTCGCATTTTTACCACAGTGGGTCCAGGGTTGGTCTGTTCCTGTTTATGCTGCTTGAAGTTCTGTGGGTCCTCCAGTGTGGGCAATCACGTTACTGAAAACACATGACCATTTTCTGTTTGAATTCTGCTCTTCTGTCCACCTGGATCTCCTATTAGCTTTAATTTGAACCTTCTCATTGTATCCTCCATGTCTCTTAACTTCTTTTGCACGTTTTTTAATTTTCTGTCTCTCATTCTCAGAGATTTCTACCATCTTAAAGTCATAAGGATCCCTGATGGCATAGTGGTTAAAGTGCTCAGCTGCTAACCAAAAGGTTGGTGGTTTGAACCCATCAGCCGCTCTGCGGGAGAAAAATTTGGCAGTCTGCTTCTGTGAAGATTTACAGCCTTGGAAACCCTATGGGGCAGTTCTCCTCTGTCCTATAGGGTTGCTATGAGTCAGAATCAACTAGATGGCAGTGTGTTTGGGGTTTTGGTTTCAGTCACTAATTCCATCCTCAGCTGTGGGCCCTGCCAGGCTCAGGAAGAAGGAAAACTTCTCTTTACCAAGTTCCTGACAGGGTCCAACAGTCTCAATTATGCTATTCTATCAAGTCCTCACAACATCCATGTGTGGTCAACAATTTATGTAGGTACACACACAGGTCTACATTCCTTCATCCCAAACCTCTGGGGCCAGAGTGGTTTGGAATTCAGACTATTTGGGATTTTAGAACGGTCAAACGGTGTGTGTATATATCAACATCAACATCTGTATCTACATCTGCATCCACTCTGCATCACACAGTGCAGTCGGTAGGTGGGGCGGGGCGGCACCCCACTCAGACAGCAGCCCTCTCTGCAGGGCGGTGTGCAGATACGTACACCAAGGAGGATACCTAGAGCTCAGGCCAGGCCATGCCACCAAATATAAGTGCTCCCCACAGTGGGGGTGGGGCTCGGCGAGATGCTGGTTGCTTGCCTGGGGCAGCGCATTCACTCTGGAGTTCTGTCCGCCCCATTGGCCCTAGCATGTGTCCACAATCCATGCGTCTCCTGCATTCTTTCCAGATCCAAGTTGGACACGCTGTTTTGTGATTGGCCTGAGCTCCGTGGTGGTAGTAGTGGTGGGGGCTCCTTGTTTGCTCACTCTTCCTCTCCTGGTGGACACTGAAGGCCGCCCACTCTTCCGCCCCCCCGCAGTGACACAGCAGGATCCGTCCATCTGCCTGTGCGCGCATCGAGCACCCGTGCGTACCCTCGACGTGGGCTCCGGTGGGTGTGTCTGCACTCACACTGCGGCGGCGGTCAGTAGTTGGCCGGCCGCCCCGCCAGCTGTGTGTGAAGGTGCTGTCACCTGTGCTCCCACTGACCCAGCGCTACCAGCCTTGGCAGCCTTCTTCCTCTGTCAGAGTGTCAGACCTGAGGGGAAGTAGGGCCTGGTCCCTGTTGCAGGCCACGCACACTGGGCACCTTCCTCTGCCTACTGTCTGTCCAGATGGAGCCTGCTGCTGGCTGACCTGGGGTCCTCCTTTCCCATGAGGACTCCCCCTGCTGCCCTGCTGGCACTCCTACAGAGGATGGGCTAGCTCCATCCTTTTCTGCTGGTCTTCTGTCCCCCTTGGCAGCACATCCTGCCTGGCTGGGCAGCCTCCTGTGCCCTTGCAGTGCCCCCACAGCATGGGCGCAGTGCTGGGTGGGGGCTGCGCTTGCCGCTGGCCTCACTTGGGTTTGATACGGAAGCTCAAGTTGGCGAGACTTGGTGGTTTGTTTTTCAGTAGAGGCTTGTCTGCCCCTTTGAGTTCTGGGTGAAATTGAGAAGGGCAATGAATATTGAAAACAAAATGGAATTAAGCCCTGAAGAGCCAAATTAACCTGTTTTTATGATCTAAAACTGTTTACGCCTGAATGCATGTGTGCGCGTAACTCGACCCAGTTTCAAGAATGAAGGAAAAGGGAGCAGGAGTTTCGGTGCTGTGAGATAAGGAAATGGACTGGCCAGCAGGCCCGCTGAGTGGTGAGAGCAGGAAAGACAGGATAGCCGGCCAGGCGTCCCTGCCCAAGCAGGACTGAGAGAGGTCAGCGTTGTGAAGTCATGTCGGCGGGACAGCGTACTTGTAACCCCAGGAGCAGAGCAGGGAGGGTGCAGTCCTCCGCACCATCCGTGCGGCCTCTTTGCCCGACGAGGATGAGTGCAGTCCTCCCCAACTTGTCCTCAAAATCTCAGCTCCTGATGCAGCCCCAGCGACATCCCCTGGGAATGAGGCACTGGGGCAGCCTGCAGTGTGGACCCCAGTGCCTGGGCACACAGCAGTCACTCTCGGTGACCTTCTCCATAGGCGCCTCTGAGTCTCTGGGCACTAGGAAGCCTGCTCGTCTTCTCGGGAACCCGATCAAATCCCCCCGGCCTGTATGGGCAGGAGCCAGGTCACACAGTGCCCTCCGCCAGCAGTGGGGCTTGCCTGGCCGGCTGGAGAGGGACCTGGCCTTCAGGTGTCCCTAGGAGCCTGGCAGGCTTGCAAGACCCTCTGGGCCAGGCCACAGGCACTGTTGAATGTTGCTCTCCAGCCTCTCTTCCCAGGGCAGACCGGGCTGAGGTCTGGGTTGTTCGGTTTGTTTGCACAGGGGTCTCTGTGCTTACCACTTGGGCACACGTGTCAGGACGCACAGAGGTGCCTCCCAGCAGTGATGAGAGCGTGGAGGGGTGAAACCACATGGCCACCATCAGACTCAGCCTGTGGCAGGCTCACGCTGGTGTGCTGCCTGACAGCGTGACGCAGAACGGGGACCTTCAGCACAGCCCACCCCCATCCGCCCCTCAGACTTCTCCAGGGGCCAGTTGGGGACAGTAAATGAGGGCCCTTGTCACACTGGGGGTAATTCCCACAAACCATCCCATCCTTGGGCTGCTGTGGACGAGGCCAGAGGAGAGGTTATGTGATCCGAGCTGGTAGGACCAGCCCAAGCTGGGTGGCTGCTCGGAGCCCTGCCTGCCTGCCCCCGCAGTGTGCAACGTGGCGGACCTGCAGGCCCTCCCGGAGTCTGTGGGGTTAGAGCTGCCGGACGGGGAGGATCGAGCTCGGCGCCTGGCCTGTGGCAACGCCTCATGTGGTGGGGACACCTGGCTCACTCACTGAGTAAACTCGTGCCCGTGGCTGGAACTCAGATGGTGCTCAAGGGTTTGTGATGAGGGCCTGGCCCACCCTCTGTTCCTCCCCTTGCCCCCACAGTCTCCAAGGGGTCCTCATGAGTTGGGTCCCTTTGGGCTTTTCTGTGATTACCTCTCCATCTTCACATCACGTGCTCTGACTGCTCACCAAATCAGTTGCCGTCTAGTTGCTGTTGCATTGACGCCGACCCATGGTGACCCTGTGTGTATCAGAGTAGAACTGTGCTCCGTAGAGTTTTCAATGACTGATTTTTTTGGAAGGAGATTGCCAGGCCTTTCTTCCAAGGTGCCTCTGAGTGGACTCGAACTTCCAACCTTTCAGTTAGCAGCTGAGCGCATTCACCCTTGGCGCCATCCAAAGCCTTCCTCTGAAGACTACCTCTGGGTTTATTGACTTCAGACATGATCCTCTGACTTCCTGCTCTAATCAAGTGGCATTTAGTTTAGTTATAGCACTACTTATTACCTGTTAACTAGCGTTTTAACTTAAACAACACCCTGGAGCCCATATTTCTTCAACAACACTCTTTAATTCCCATTTCTTTCTCTAGCAACTGTGGAACCCCCCCACCCCACATACACTCACACACTTCGTTAATACAGCTCCTTTATTATCGAATTTTAAAAGTAGAGATGTAAAAACAGTTCATTTGTCAGAATCCTTTCCACTGGCTGTGGCAGGTGGTGGTCATCCCGCTGAGGTTTGTACTGGCCTGCCTTTGGCTGGGCACCACATAGATATGTTGTTGTTGTGTGCCGTCAAGTTGATTTCAACTCATAGCCATCCCATGTGACAGAGTAAAAACTGCCCTGTTGGGTTCCCCAGGCTGTAGTCGTTATGGGCGCAGATCGACGGGCCTTTTTTTCATTGTGCTGCTGGTGGGTTTGAACTGTCGATCTTTCGGTTATCAGCCAAGCGCTTAGCCACTGTGCTATCAGGCCTGCTATACGTATCCATCCATCCATATATATAATAGTATATATATATTTAAACTTGACAGCCTGGCCGTGCGGGTTGGCAGTGGTGCCCGTTGGGCAGATGCCTGGGGGTGGGCAGCATGGCGAGTGTGGTGTCCAGCCAGCCTTGGCCCAGCCCTAACGCCTGGTCTCTCTGTCCTGGCAGCCAGGAGCCGGCCTCCCTGTCCAGCCTCACCATTGCTGACCTCGTCCCAGACCTGCAGCACATCCTGTTCTGGATGGCCAACGCCGTGGAGCTTCTGTACTTCCTGCAGCAGAAGTGCCCGCTCTATGTGCAGAGCATGGAGGAGGCGCTGGACGTCACAGGTGAGTCTTGCCTCCCTGAGCTCTGCATCGGCCCCAGGAGGCTGGGCGGGGCCCTCTGTCAGCCGGGGCAGCACTGGCTGCTAGAGCGGGGTGACTGTGTGGGTGCCCCCATCAGCCGGGGCGGCACTGGCTGCTGGAGCAGGGTGCACTCTATGGGGGTTCCTCGGGGGAGTGGCACCGTGTCTGCGTCCTGTGTGTACCGTTTGTCTGGGAGCCGCCTTTGAGGTCAGTATGTTGGGGTGGGCTGACCTGCTGCTCACAGGGATGCCTGGGAGAGGCCCAGGCCACTCAGACCACTGCTTGTACGGGCAGATCTGCTTAGTAGGGGAGACCAGGCCCCATCATGAACCGAGAAGATGTATATCCAAAGATTTTAGGGTGCAAGGAGTTTGATGGGGCAATCTGGAAGGGTTTCACAGAGGAGGTGGCCAGCTTACGGGCTGGCATCGAGGCAGGCAGGGTTCCTGTGGCGTGGGGGCTGAGGTGGGCAGGGTTCCTGTGGCATGGGGGCTGATGTGGGCGGGGTCTCCATGGTTGAGGGCTGGTACTGGGATAGTAGGAGCAAAGTGGAAGCTGCCAGGACACCATGAAGGGACAGGAGATGACAGCTGGGCCCTAGGGGGCTGGGCTGGACCTACCGACCTAGGTTTCACCCCACAGCTTTGCTCTACTGTGGCCAAAGCCGTCCCGTCTGATTTGGGGAGCCCTTGACCATCCAGGGTGCTGTGCTGGTGTTGGGATTTTGGGGGGCAGCTTGGTGGGGACTAGGGAGGAGGCCCATGACAGGCATGGGTGGGGTCTGTGGGGCGCTTGTGGGCTCTGCCTGAAGACTGTGGGGAGTCTCTGGTGTCCTGTATGTCACTGGGGGAGCCCTGAGATGGTAAAGGTGCGTGAGGTCCTGGCCAGGTGGTGCCCCACCTTCATTCTGGGTGTGAGCCCTGCTGGGACCTGATGCCTGGCAAGTGGATTTCCTAAGGCGCCTGGGACAGAGAGAGCACCATGGTGTCTGCTCTGTGCAGGCCGCAGCCACTGCGTGCAGGCCACAGGGCTCTCGGGACAGGCTCCTGTCCTCAGGGGACCCACACCGGCAGGCCTGATCTGAGCCTGTGGGGGCTTCTGACATGCTTGCCCTGAGGGAAGATGGGGGCGAGGGCACCCCTGCCTCTGGAGGGGGAGTGAGCGGGACCTTGCAGCCTTCCTCCTCGTCCCCTCAGGCCTCTTCTCAGGACAGGAGACAGGTGGGGCCTGCTTGTGGGCCCAGGCTAGGCCTCAGGGCCTCTGTGTGGGCTTGACACGTGTACAGGAGAAGGTGGCAGTGGCCCCAGTACAGACCCTCCTCGTCCTAGTGGCGTTCACCCTCCACCGTGGTGCTGCGAGGAGGGGAGGGTGAGCCAGTGCTCCGCCCTGCGGCCTGTGTCTGAGGGATCTGCTGTCAGCCATTCCCTTCCCTGGGGCCTTCAGGGACAGGCACTCTTCTTGTGAACCTCGGCACCTCTGTGCGCCGTCCTGTGTCCTCTGGCCTCCCTGATCAATGTCGTGGGGGCTCAGCGGGCCCGTCTGGGGCGACCCTTCTGGAGCTGAGTGGGGCCAGCCAGCCCCCGGAATCCGCCTCTGCAGCTCATGTGAGGGGAGGAGGGCGCTCCCCACGACTGCAAGTCACAGGGACACATGGCTCTGTGGGAGCCCTTGGCTCCGCACCCTTCAGACATCTGTGTCCAGAGGCCTGAACAGGCTCCAGGCCTGGCAGCTGTCAGCCATGTTCACACCACCCTGGAACAGTCTGTTTTCCATGGGAAACTCTGCTTCAAGGTGACAGGGCAGGGTGACGTGGGGGTGACGTGGGACTGCCAGTGCAGAGTGGCAGCCTTCCTGGCAGCCCTCTGGTCTCAGGGGAGTTAATTTTGGTTTGTGGCCTGAACGTTGTTCAGCCCTAGAGCATGGGAGGGCACCTGGGTGTCCGTTCTCCCCAAAGGCCCTGGGAGGCCCCGAAGAGGCCCGACAGGAAGAGCACCCCCACTGCAGGCTGCAGAGTGGAGGGAGCAGTGTCCTCCCAGGCCCCTGACCTCCCGCAAGAAACACTGTTGGGAGACTCTAAATGCACAGCTGCCTAAGAGCTGCTTCACCTGGGAGGCTGTGCAACAGCAGATGCAGGGATCAGTGGGCTCTTTCTCTCCCCAGAGGACATTGTTGTCTCCATTGCTCACATTCGTGCTGGGCTCTGAGTGTCTCCTGGAGCTGGAGCTGGGGTGGGGGGCACCTGGTGCCCACAGCGTTGTCTCAGTCCCCAGCCTGGAAGCAAGTGGAGGGGAGTTGCAGAGTGGCCGTAGGCCCATGTCCTCCTAAATGGCAATCGGAAACTCCATGGCCAGATGGAGATACGGCACATGGCTTTTAAAGTGAAGTTATAGCAAGGGAGATGATAGAAATACACCTGACGGGCCCACACCTGCTGCGGTAGTTCCTTCTGTCGACCCCTCCCCTTCCTCCTCCTCTTCCTGCTGTTCCCTCCTCCCAACCTGGGCTCTGACCACACATCTGCGCGGGGGTTGTCCCGTTTCTTAGAACTTACAGTGAAGAAGCCTGTAGGTCGCTGTACCTGCTGTAACAGGCCCATCTTTATGACAGGTGCAAGGGCTTAGAACTGTTTCCTCGCCCAGGCCCCCACCTACTCCGACCTTGGTTGAAAACATTGGTCTGCACTTGTCTGGGCAGTATTCGGGCCAGCCTTGTGTTTTCCGCGGGCCTGGGGGGTTCTGGAAGAAAGGATTGGTGGAGTTGGCTGGGGAGCAGTGCCGGCCAGTTGAGAACCTCTTGTCCTTGAGACCTAGGTTCACTTTGGCTGCCCACACACTGCTCCCCAAATGCCCAGTGGGACTGCAGGGGACACGTGGTGGCTGGAATCCCTCTGAGACCCAGACTAGTCCCTCAGCCCAGGTACTGGGAGACCTGGGGAGTGGCCGGGAGGGCCATGGCCTGTGACCCTGGAGGGCAGGGGTGGCGGGGGCACAGCAGGCTCTGGCTTCCTGCTTCACTGAGTACTGGGGGGCCCTTGCACCAGGCTCTGTGGGCCTGGGGGCCCCAGCCCCAAAGGAGAAGCACACTGAGTGGAGAGTGACGGAAGGTGACGGCATCGGGTGGAGTTTGTGTCGTGTCTGGCTGCTGTGCCCGCTCTTCCCTTTCACTGGAGTCATGGCTCTGGCCGTCCACTGACGTGGGAGGCCCCGCCCTGACCCACACCTCCCCTGGGCCTGAGCACGTAGGGAAAGCAGTGTAAGGCCGCAGCTGGATGCAGGGGGAGAGGAGAGGCCTTCACAGTGGAGAACCACGGCCCGTAGTGCAATGACTGCCGTCCACTGGGAAGCTGAATGCCATTGAATGCCCTGCTCGCTTGCCTCCTGCTCCCCCTAATGGACAAACTAGGGAGAAACACAGGCTGGCCTCCCTGGTCCTGTTCATGGGTGCTGTGGGACCCCATCACCAAGAACCCCAGGGAGGGCACCGCCTATGGGGCCTCTGGTCCTGGGAGCCTGCTGTCAAATGTGACTCCCTGAGGGAGGGGATCAGCCTGGCTCACCCACCGCCGGCCTAAGGCCCTGCCACAGCAGCAATGCCCTGCACTCCTTCCTGCCCCTGCCCAGCTGGGGGATGTCCACCCTCCCAGGCCTGCTGGTCTTGGCAACCAGCTCTGGGAGGGGCTGCAGGACATTGGTGCCTGGTGCCCTCTCTGCCCTATGCTGCCCTCTCTGCCCCGTGGCCTCTCTGCCCCGTGGCCTCTCTGCCCTA